TGCCTGCAGACCGTCTCCCCTTCGGCAGGGAGACCTTCCTTCAGAGGAGCAGCGGGCAGTCCGTCCCCGGAGGCGCTTTTAACGCAACGGCGCAGCTGAAACAACACAGCCTCGACGAGCCTCGGCCGCGGCAGGGCAAAAGCGGCATCCCGGGCCGTCTTCCGCCCAGGCCAGGCGTCCGCAGCCCCGGGCAGCCCTCTTCCTCCCGCTGTGACCGTGAGACCTCCCCTCCTGCTCTCCCCCCTCGCTCACATACAGCTAAAAGGGTCGGGAAGGGCCCAGCGGCCCTCGGTGGGTTCACCAGCCTTCCTCATGGATCTGAACAAGTGCGGGAACGAGGCGCCTGGCAGGCCATGCTCTCCACGGAAGGACTGATGGGGAGGAAAGCAAGCTGGTTAGAACAGTGACTCCTTCCCGAGCCATGGCACGCTGCTTAGATCGATTTCGCACGACGCACCTTAGCGTGTTGGCACCCGATGGACAACTCAGAATAGCAGTGAGGACTGTCCGCCACCACCCCAGAGGCACCTCTTCACCCTCCAAACCTGTTCTGCAATTGCAGCAAATGAACGGACGTGAGATTGTAAGGCCCAGCCTTCCCCACACCCTGCATAGGCAAAAACAATCATACTCCCACCCCCGCCCCCCAATTCCCCATGCGCACGTAGTAACACCGGGATCGAGGCTCTCATGCACAGCCCTTAACTTTGCCAGGCACAGTATGATTCTTCAAGGAGCGCAACCCAAAAGATGGGGAAGAGGCACCCTCTTGGCATCCCACGGTTTGCCCGCTCGACCTTTGGGGGCAAGCCAAGACAGCCTGCGAGGGCCCCTCCCTTCTGGGGCAGAGGGACAGGCGGTTTGCAGGCTCATCGTGCAAAGGACCCTCCGCTGGAGGCCCTGCCGAACGTTGGGATCCTCTGGGGCTCCTGGTGCCGCTGTCTCAGCTGCGCTTTGGGCAAAGGGTTTCTTCGGGCTGCAGCGCTGCGCAACAGGCATTCCAGGAGACTCCCCCTCTGTGCTTCTGGGCTCTGCCCCCCCACCTCCTGCCCAAGCTCCAGCCATCACATGACACAACCTACTTAACCAAGGCCCAAGCCTGGCGCCCATCATACTCCATGGCTTCCGATGCGAGGCCCCGCTCGTGAGCTAATTCAACACCGCCCATCCGGTGAATGACCCAGGCACTGACAGAGCACACACACCTCTGAGTAGCTTCAAGGGCCTGGCAAATGGAGCTGTAGCAGCCCCCTTCCCACCTTTCTGCAAGGGATGGAGCGGGGGGGGGGCAGCATTTCCGTGGCAACAACATTCCATTTTCACAGCGCCTGACCTGGATTTCCCTGCCGGGATGGGAGGAGGCATCACTGGCAGGAGGCAGCTCAGCCCTCGGGCCCCCCAGCTCTCCCACAAGCAGAGGTGGCTTCCCACCCCGGTGGACGGGGGCAAACCCCGGGGAGGTGGTGGCTTCAGAGACAGGTGCGGAGCAAAGAAGAGCAGAGGAAAAGCAGCAACACATTTCGGCGTTTGAGGCCAGCCGCTGGCATGCAAAAGCTTTTTCCCAGCAAGGATCCTTTGCAGGAATTCAGGGCAGCATGGATGCCCCTTATGCCCTGGTCCCCCTTATGCCCTTCCTGAGCTGTTCCCATCATCAGCACCCCACAGAGAAAGAGCATGCGCTGTCCCCTCCCTCATTTTGGTTTACAGGACGGCAGCCAACGCAGATGGAGCTGAGGAGCGGGGTGGGATGCTGCAGCCCACCCTCCGCCAAGTCCGGCTGCAAAGATGGCAAGACAAAGCTGCCAGGGCCAGGGGAGGAGGATCCCCAACTGAATTGCCAGTGGCAAACTCCCCCTTCCTTTTATTCCCCAGGATAAATTTTAAAAATAAAGGAAATCACCCCATGAAATAAGAACATTCTTGTCTGGAGGAATTCAGAAGAAAAGTGGACTATAAGGCTGAGTATTATTGTCCGAAAAGTTGACCCACAAAACCTGGAATTTTTAAAATAAAATATCTGCTTTTTTTAAGGTGGCCAGATCTTGACTCATCTTTTAAATGAGTGAGAAATGTCCACCATGTCCTGAAGCAAGTAAGGGCTGAGGGCCACCAACGCAGGCCCTGTCTCTGCCAGGGAACCACGTCCCTTGCTAGGTCAAGCTGTGCCAGTCTTGACCATTCCTTGCTTGGAAAGAACAGGAACAGACTAACCATCACATTAGCACTTGAGTAGTAAAATACACCTCTAAGAGAAAGGGGACAGGAAGCCCTTGGGGGAAGCTGGCAGGAGAGCAAGAGGAAACCATGGGAGGAGGGGGATCACATAATGTCGTCCAGAAGGTTGGGACTGGCCACCCAGTCGAGGGTGCGCGGCTCAGAGGCTGCCATGATCATGCACATGAACTGCTTCCCGGTCCTCTTATCAATAGGGTAGATGGTGGTAGGCGTGAAGCGTTTGTTGCTTTCTACAAATGCACACAGCTGCTCATAAATCTTCGGGAACTCGTGCCGCAGGAAGACGCCGCGAATGCGCAATTCGCGCTGGATGTTGATGAAGCAAACCTCTCGTGCTTTGCGCCCTTCCTCACCATCCTTGTCCAGGTCGGCCGTGCCGGGAGGGGGCGTCAAGATCAGCGTCTCCATGTCCCGCTCCTTCTTGAGGATCTTCTTCTCGGGGCTGGAGGACGCCAAGGCCATCTTGGCGTACTTGCGGACGGTCGGCACCTGTACCTTTGGGGATGGCCGCTCTGGCACATTCTGCCCCACTGCCACTGTTACATTCAGGAGGAAGCATTCCTCGGGGTCATACTGCTGGCCCGCTTCCTGAAGTTCCCGGGCGTATTCCCCGAGGTTGTCTGAGTAGCCCTCGAGCTCCCGCAACGACAGGTAAGTGGGCGACATCAGCAAGCTCTCCAGGCCGAACTGCAGAAAGTTCTCTGCTGAGCCCGAGCTGGGGAAGCCCAGAAAGAGCACCCCACGGCCCCGAGACAGGAAGCCGACCTTGGCGATGCGGGAGAAGGCCTTGTGCACCTCCCCGTTCTCCCGGCAGAACTGCAGCACGTGGCGACAGGTGCTGCCAATCCGCCCGTAGATGCAGCTCTCCTTGTGGGTGTCCCAGTCCTCCCGCCGGCAGTGGCGGGAACAGTAGTACGTGTAGCAGCTGTGGCAAGACTTGAAGTAGAGGCAGGCATTGAACATGGTCTCTGTGCGACGGCACTTGGCGTTGGAGCACATCATCACGTCGTCCTCGTCAGCGCTGAGATCTGGGGAACAGTCATCCAGGCTTTTTTCTGAGGGCCTGGCGGATCCCGGAGCCTCGGTGGAGCGTCGGCCCTGGTCCTTACGAAGGTCGGCGTGGAAGGCGCTGCGGCCAGGCTGCTCCTTGGTGGGATGGGGCTCCACGGACCTCCAAGAGTCTGGCTTCCTGGGGGGCAGGCCTAATCCGTCACTGATCAGCTGCCGGAGCTGGTCGGCCAAATTGCTGACCTCGCTGGGCTGGCAAATGGAAGGGGGCTTGTAGTCAATGACCAGGTCTGTGATGAGCTCATCCAACTGCTCCAAGCTGCGCTGGCGGGCGGTGCTCTCTTTGGCGCTGGGGTCTGGTCCATAGGGCTGGGTGGGGACGCCACCCCTCTCTCGCGAGTCCCCCGTATCCAGTACATCCCAGCTGGCTGAGCGCCTCTCACTCTTGCCGAACCCGTTCGCTCGGATATCGTTGTCCGTGATGGTGATCTCCGGCGTGACAAACCAGCCGTGGCGCCCCCTGTCAGCATGCATGCTCTCAATGAGGGAATTCTCAGAGAGGGAAAGGGCCGCGTAGCGTTTGGGAGAACTGGACAGGTTCACCACTGCTGGCTGGCGCCGGTCATCAGGGGAGAAAGCGCGATGTGGATCCCGGGACAGCAGGTTCTCGTAGCTGCGACCGCGCAACAGATGGTCTTCCCGGCGCACCTGAGGGGTCAGAATGTTGTCCCAGGATTTGGAATAGTGCCTCGTGTCCGTGCCAAGCCGTGGAGGGCTGACGCTGTAGCTGGTGTGCCACGACGACAGCATGGCTTGGGGGGCAGGTTGGTGAGCTGGAAAGCGGGACATCTGCCATGTCTGGTAGGGCACCGTCCCCCTTTTGGGGCAGTACCAGTCGTTGAACTGCACCGATGGAGCAATGCGGGAATGCGGGTAAGTGCGAGACATGGCCTCTCGCTCGTGATATTTGCCATAATCTTCAGTGTAGAAGACTCGTGGGTTGGCCCTCAAGGCGGGATAAGCCCTAGGGTCTTCAGTATAAACAGCCTTCGTGGGAGGGGTCCTGGGAGTGTAAAAGCGTGGGTCGTCCCCATAGTAAGTCTGGGCTGGGGCCTCCTGAATGGGATAAGGAGTCCTGTTTTCCTCCACAAAAAAGGTTCTAGCTGGAAGAGGATAGAAGCTGCTCGGGGGAGGTTCTTCTGCATAAAAAGTTTGGGGCAGGAGAACCTGGCCCCCATAAGCGGGAGGGTAAGACTTATAGCTGGAGCTTTTCAGAGGGAAACTGCTGGCCTCCTCAGTGTAGAAGAACTTGGTTGGCACATAGGGGACGTAAGGAACGCAACCACTTTCGGGTACGGCTGGACCTCCATCACAAAATTCGGTGGGGTAAGGTGCCAGCCCTCGGTGTTCCCCACTGTAAGTATCGCTGGGTGTGGGAGTCCGAGACATGGGTACCTGCCGGCTGCTGGGCACCGTCAAGCTATGGGGCGTGCCTGGGGGCCGGGGCCAGGCCAGCGGGGCCTCCCCATGGCCATGCGACACTTTGGCACTGCGGGCTGCGTGCAGAACCGTGGCCTCATCTGGCTTGATGTCCACCCGACGCTTGACGTGCACGCTGGGCAGCGGGAACCTTGCAGCCAGGGCGGCCTCTTCAGGGCAGTTTGCTCCGGTTATGCAGAGAGGAGAGATGCGGCTGCCGCTGGCCCGCTGAGGCTGCAGCTTGATGGGGTGCACCTCGCTCATCAAGGCTTTCATGGAGGCATAACTGCTTTCCCGGCGAGGGGACACCTCTGTCCGCTCGGGCTCTCGGGACACTCGATGGACCTCACGTCCCCTCCTAGTCAGGGCTGGCGGAGAGCCCGAGGACATGGGGATGACCACGGGGGTGAAGGTAGATTTGACCCGGGGCGCGCTCTTGGATCGGGCCCGCCTCTTGGGCTCGCCCCGGGAGGCCGGCTCCTTCGGGCCCCCCTTCCTCTGGGAAACATGCTCTTCCTGCGCAGCAGCCCGGACAGACGCCCTCTTCCCCACAGGAGCCGAGGATGGTTCCGGCGTGGGGGGCCGCCGGGAACGTCGCTCCATGGCGGGAGCCGCGGGCGGGGGGTCGTCGAGGGACTCGAGGAAATCGAAGCTGCGGCAGTGTCGCTTGTTGAAGGGCTGGGCCGGCTGGTTCTCCAGGGACGAAGACATGGAGGAGTCACATGGCCTTGCGGGCTGGCAGAAGGCAGAGCTGGCGGAGCCCACGGAAGCCACGGGGACGTCCTGATACACCGCAGACACCAGGATGCCAGGCGGGTCCGTTCGGGTCATCTTAGAACCAGCTTTCTGCTCCTCCCCAGCCCTCCTCAGATCATCTCAGTGCAGCGATTGCAAGTTCTGTGAACGGACAAAAGGTTGCGGGAGATGCAGGCGGACTGGTGCTCGTCACTGGAGCTCGCCCTGGCAAGAGAACCAGTAGCCTGGCCCAGGGGGCCATGCCATCGGCCAGATCAGCCCCTGCAACTCTGCCTTTGCACCGCAGCCTGAAGGTGACCCACCGGGCGCACCTGGTAGCTCTCGGAGCCAGGCCAAGCTCTTCCTGATCACTAGCAGCCCCGCACTCGCACGGGCCATTCTCTGGCAGGAGCAGGGGAGGAAAGCGTAAAAGCGGGCTGGCGCTCTTGCTAGCGTTCACCAGGGAGCAGACACAGAAATACAAGCTGGTCTCACTCCTAGATCGCACAGTTACCATGGTTTCCCCTCTCTCTCTTTCACACACACACACACACGGGAAGCAACGCATGCTGGGAAATTCCAATGAAGGCAGGCGGCTGCGTCCAGGTCAGATGAGAGACCAAGTTCGGACTCTGGTACCCTGAGATCAAGCAGGAAGGACAGAAAAAATGGGGGGGCATCACACACACACCCCGCCACGCGCTCCCCTCCCAATTGCTGAGCTGTCGAAGGAGAGGCGAAGGCCCCTGATCAAAGAGCTCCCGGGTTCCCCATCAGCACTGAATCTCAGTGAAACTGGGGAGGATCTCCTTCCCCTCCGGAGCCCAGAGGAAGATCTGGAGCCACAAACGATTCGGAAATGCCCCTCCGGACCCCCCTGGACCAGGGCTTCCGTCACCGCAGCCGTGCCAAGCCACCCCCTCCCGTTCGGCTGCCCCTTTCAAGGGTCTGCATTTCCTGCACCTGTGGCAGCCACGGCAAAGCCTTCCCTTCTTCCCAACCCATTTCGGCCCACACCGAGGCAAGCTCCAAAAAGGGTATTTAAACTCTCAATCTCTGGGCAGGCCAATTAAGGAGGGAGGGGGCCTGTCCCAAAGCCCCTCCAGGCCAGGATGTCTCTGGGAACTCCGGGACCGGAGCATGACGCATCCCAACGCTGGTGTTCAAAAAACCAGGGCAGTGCCAGTTAGCTGTGTTGCCAAGCAACCCCCAGAAGACCTTTCCTTCCACGCTTGCCCATAACTGTCTCTTCTTTAGCTTTAGCGCCCGGTGGCGTCACAGAGCTCGTCCTGGCAATCCAGAGCTCCTGGCTGAGCAGCCTTGGGGCAAAAGAGCCCGCAGGCTTGGCTCCTCTCTGCCTGCTGACCTTCCCCCCCTCGCAGCCCACCGCTGCGCTGCTTCGCGACAATCTCACCGCGGCCCTCCGAGGTGGGCCCACGCTGCCATTTCCATATCGGGGGGGGGGGAAATGGAGTTCGCCTAAAGGAATTTCCAGCCCAGGGGATGCTGGCGCCCCAGGCCTCCCGGCTGCCGTTCTGACTCGGCAATCCTCAGCATGTGCACCCAGAAGCCAGCCGCCTGTTTACTTCGCCTTCCTCCTCCTCTGGGGCCCCTGCCCCGAACAGAACACGTGCAAAGGGCCGGGGCTGGGGAGGACGGGGAGCCCAGGTCAGGCTCGGCTCACACACCTGCTACCGTATGGGGCCAGAATCTGGGGTTCTTGCCTTGGGGCCTCTCCATCTTAGCTTCACGATGCCCCACCCGTAACACACGCTACGCCCAGCAGCTTGGGGAGGAAATACACTCTGCACATGTCTAGAGACACCTTTCTTTCCCTCGGCTCGGCAACCGGCCCTTTTTGGCCTTTCTTGGCAGATTTTTGCTGGAAAACAGCTCTCCTTTTGCAGAAGGAGAGGGAGAAGGAAGACAGTGCGGTGGGCAGTGAAAGGGTTAAGAGTGAGAGCATCAAATGCCTTCACCAGAGCGCCCCCCCATCGGCTGCCTTCCACAGGG